CTAGTTACTTCCCAACACTGCTGCTGCAGGCAGAGCACCGTCAGAAGAGCCCAGCCAATGTCAGGAGATGGAGCCACCATTTTGAAATAACATGACCAGCTTAAATTTCACATGAGAACCGATTTTAACATGAGTGAATATTATATTCATTGATGCATTCATGTCCTCCGGGGAAGTTTGTATTTATGAGTTTGGAAGTCATATTTCAACATCATATGTGTTCAAGTCACTTCGGCTGGAGCAAGATGGCGATGTGCCGTTGATACAAAAAAAAACAAAAAAAACATCTAATTCTACAAAATGAAGACCGTCTGCCAGGTGTATAAAAGCTTTTTTAAATGTTTTTATTAAACTTTTGAAAATGCTGTGTATTCAATCATTACATATTCTATTGTAAATGTACCATGCTATAGATTTTTTTGTACATGCAACTTAGCTAGTTTTATTGTAAATTGAAAAAAATTAATGTCAGTACAGATGCTGCATCTTTTGCATCTATTTTTTTTCTCACTGACTGCCCAGAATTCCGAAACATTGGGCTTCAAGAAAGTTCCACTACAAGTGTTCCACTCATAATTATGACTGTGATGGCATTCATATGTGTTCAACTCGTAAATACAGTGTTTCTGACATGACTTGAAAACACCATATGTGTTTTTGTGCATTACATCATGAGATTGCACACTGTCTAGTGCAAACAGCATTTGAAATGGGAAATTCTTTTTTTTTTTTTTTCTCCGGTAAGATGTCTCTTTCTTCTTGTTAACTAACAAATTTTACAAACATTGAATTTTTGTAAAAGCCCAACAACCTTGACAGAGAGAAAGAGCTCACTTACCATAAAGGATCTGGTTTCCACAGTATTGACTTAAATAGGGAACAGAGACACAACAGAGGTTATAGTAAGCTCTGAGCCTACGACAGGCCACATTCTGTGCTGCAGTCATTATGGTGTCAGACTTCACTATAACACAGCCAAACATAATGGACATCCAACTGAGTGTTCATTCAAGGTCAAGTTATATGGGGCATGTAGTTTCTGCTATCAGTGTAACGGAACACATTCAATGCTCAGAAAACTTGGAAAACAACAGCATATATAGATTTTTTCTGCCATTTTTCATGGAGAGAAAACATTGTCTCTTCACTGACTATGTTGTTGCATTTGGACATTCAGAATTGTAAAAAAATACACACAATAAATATTTTAAATGGTCTGTGTTTATCTTTGTTCTGATTTTTATAGTTTAAAACATAATATTTGTTATGTTGAGATTGAATTTTTTTTTATGACTGGAATATTGAAAGTCTGGTTCTAGGACAAGGGTTAAAAAATAATATATACATAAAAGGTATTTAATAATAATAATTATAATAATGATGATGATGATGTGGATGAAGCCACGGTAAAATAAAACTTCACTTTTATTAGCTATTTTTGTAATTACTTTTAACCAACTGGTCTCATGGTAATTTTTGTAGATGTATGAATCCAGTTTCAAGTGTAGTTTATCACATTAACTACTAACAACCAGAAAGTAGACAATTATCTTTTTTCTTCTGTGTGCATGTCCATTGGTTTTATATTTTATTTTAAGCAATTACATTCATACATTTGAATTGTGGATTAACTGTTCAAGTAATTTTAATATCCCTGCCAATCTGTTCTGCCACTTAAAAATTATTTTATTAGACATATCTATAGGAAGTATACTGTAACAGTTCAGCACTTCACTAACAGATTCAATACTTACACCCACATATTAACAAATGCTCTACATATTCACATGCACTATAACAGATTTGCTTGTATCTTTTCTGCTAGCTATACGCAAGAAAATATTTTAGTCTTCCATGTGAAACTGAACTGCTTAATAACACAGCCTTCACCCTCTGATACCTCAAGCCAGATTACTTTTGCGTAGAGCTCAGTGATGGCTTCATTTAAATGCAAAGTAATTCGACTGCATATTGTGACAATGCACAAAAGAGCAGCTCTGGCCTGGCAAACTGTAAAACACGATAGACAAAAGGTTTGACAGGCCTCTGGAGCAGCACAGGAGTATGGGTAATTGGTCTCTGTTGCTTTCGCCTCAGCCCAATTATGTCCTCGTGCTCTCACAGGTATGCAAACACACACACACATACTCTTCTACCCAGTCATCTAAATGAGGCTTCAGACCTGCCCTTCATATGAGATCATGGTTTGGATGGTGGTCAGTCACTCAAGGTCTAACAGATGTACGTCCTGATTCTGCCGAGTTAGACGCGTTCCTAGGTCAACAAGGGAGGTGCTTAAGGTAAAATTGATCAACCAATCAGATTACTCACGTGACATCTGCCAGCTTGAGCGCCACTTTTTGAGTTGTGCCCCTTTGACGTCTCCTTCATTTCACAGAGGTAAGTGCATTTTATTTAAAATGTGCCATTTCAAATGTGCCCATCCCTGCTCAGCATAATGTATTATTTTCAATTGCACGATGGAGTCATAACTAACGCGAGCATTAGCTAAACTGCTCATATAAGGTGCAAATCACCTAACACCTCTCCTATCGGACAGGAAGGCGCCCACGATCGTTTCGCCCCGACCCGGCGTGGTGTTTCCCCCGTGATCGCGTCGTCGGATCTTTTCGTCCGATAATAATATTAATGAAATATCTTATGTTGACACATTCATGAAAGCTCATATAACACAAGACAGCAATATATCACTGTATTTAAATTATAATAATAATACAATATCTAATTTAAAACAAACAGTAATCTATCACTATATTGTAATTATAATAATAATAATAATAGAATGATAATGAAATATCTTGTGTTGATCCAGGGACATCATATTCTTATGTTGACCCTGGGACTTCATTCCTTATAGCTCATCTAATATAAGACAAACAGTAATTAATCACTGTATTTAATAATAATAATAATAATACAATATCTAATATAAGACCAAGAGTAATCTATCACTATATTGCAATAATAATAATAATAATAATAATTAATAGCATTTTTGTTGCATTTGTAAGGGTGATTGTTCAAGTCTGTTGGTGAAGGAAAAAGGAACTGAGAAAACTTAAAAATTCAACTTGATGTTTTTAGATTTTTAGAATATTGTTTTCTGAAATATTGTCTTATTGAAATATTGTCCCAAGTACAACTGAAATTGAAACTGAAATAGTTAATTCACTAAATGCAAAATTCCACATAAATTAATCAAAGCAACTACAGATTTCTTGTTCAGCAAATTTTCAGTTAATAACACAATGAACTGATCTATCATATATTAACTAACAATAATGACAAAACAACAACAAAGTAAGTAAAGAGCAAAACAATAATTCTAGAACCGCATAATGTATGCATGCTGCAATGCATGTTGGGACATTTCAGCAATATTGTTCAACTTCAAATTCTTTGTTCAAATACGATTGTTTGACTAGCTGTAACAAATTTGAGGGAGTTCTTTTGGTCTAACATAAGTTTCTCTGAAGTAAATCGCATTTCTTAGCATTTGTGACTCAAAAGGTCCCACACATCAGTGTTTTGTCATGTCTAAAAAGATTGTTATGAGAAGATATCTTTATTATGCAAGCACATATCATCTTTAAGTTTGCTTAAATTAATTTAATGTGTAATTTAATATGTACAACACACCCTCTTGAGTTAAAAAATATCAAATTTAAATTTTATGCAAATTGCATAAAAAATACAATCTTAAAGCAATTACATATTTTCTCTGTTTCTTTAAAAAAAAAAAAAAAATGATTTAATTTTTTTTAAATAAAAAAAATTGGCCAGGCATCAATTTCTTAATTTCTGTAAATTTTAAATTTCTAACAATGTTTCCCTTTTATTGGTGTTATTCTCAAATAAATCCCATGAAAGCAAATGTCTTGAGGAATACTAAGCAAAGCTCTCTCCATCACAGATGTAGCGGAGGTCTTCCTCTTCCCTTCTAATTACTGGGATTCAGGCAGTCAATAAAGCTTGTGCAGTGGGTGGAAAGACTCTGAGACATTTAAAAGGAGCATCGGCAGGATTAGCCCGTCAAACTATCTTAACCACAATAATACAGGCCTAACCGGGCACTTCCTCACCGTCAGAATGGCTGCCAGAGCCCTTCATCGCTCTTAAAAAACTGTATTTAGACTGGGTGTGGTGAGCAAGGTAATGATAAATGCAGATTTATGGCAGCTGGTGCAGGCATCCTGAGAATCCTGCGCTTCTCTGAGGGAACTGATCAATATCTCTAATGCTGGGTTAAGTTAATACACCGTACATTACAGCACAATGTAAAAATAGATTCACTCAAAGAACCCAAGCGCAGGATCTACAAGAGCATCAGAATGGAGAATTATAAAACTGCTGGATTAAACAAGTGTGTGTTTAAACAATTAAACAAACTGAATTAAACAAGTTTCTGAGTCTCAGCTTCTGGGACTCTACGTGATTATTTGAAATACATCGAAATATTTAATAGGCGTGGTCCTGGATCAACCTTTGATGGTACTGTCAAGCATAGTACTAACACTAACCCGATCACTAACCCCAATCTTAACCATTAACTAGGGCTGGGTAAAAAATATCGATATCTCGATTTTAATCGATTCTCATTTTTACGGAACGATATCGATTCTTAA